TAATTTCCTTGCTAGAGTAAAGCACATGTCTTTCCTATGAGGCACATAGAAATATATATTTAATACCAATGCGCATCACGCACTCTACTCCATCTCTGGTGCGCGATACCAATGCGCACCAGAGATGGAGTAGAGTCGGAAAACGACCGAAAAGACATCGACACAAATTAGACTTACTAGAAAGAATCGAATCAACACATCGCTGTCGTCCCTATTTGACCTCCCACTAATCCTCTTTCTTTTCACGAACTAGCAAACCAGCACATCAAACCACGTTGAAATCCTCGTAGTTTACCAATGAATTCAAAGCCACTAAATAAACTACTGCTTGTGTCGTCGTCGTTTGTTGAGCTGCTTGTTGGTCAACTCAGTTATTCACCGCATTTTTCTTCTTTCCGCTGTTTATTTATTACTTTGTACGCTCGAATGATTCCGGGCTGTTTTTGGTACTCGAACGGCGCGCTATGGCTAAACATGCATCGAAGCCGAAGCAATGGGGAGAAGAAAGAAAGACGAGGAGGCCTCCCAGAGAGCGGCAAGGAGATCCACTCGTCCGGGCGTTTATCTCCTTTGTCAACGGGAGCCCCAGGAAGTGTCTGCTCTCACATAATAGAACTCGTTATCCGTTCCTCGTGAGAGCCGAGCCTCTTTTCAACGGGCGACACTCCGTTGTTCCCCAGGCTTAGGACCGAAAGCCCTCGGGCCGACTCAGCGTTATCTTCTCGGCGTGCGTGGGTGGCGGGAAAACAAAAATACAAAAAAACACACACAGCAGGTCTTGGCCGTACGCCACGCTCAAGCACGGAATCGGGGGCTAAACGGTCCGGAGTGTTTGCGGTTTTTGTCGAGCTATCTCCTCTCCTCTAAATTATTGAAAACAAAAGCACGGTACGTACTTAAAAAGGCCGCACCTCAAATACAGCGCATGAAGATTCCCACATGTAAAACACCAAAGATTGATTTTTTTTTTTTTTTTTTTTTTTTGGGGGGGGGGGCGATTTAATTTAAGCATTTTGTTTTTGCGTTTAGATACCTCGTTTATGTAGCCTCACTTAATGAAGAGAAAAACGTGGCAAAAACGAGCTGGTAATAAAAAACAACAACATTGGTGTACTAGAAACAAAAAAGGAACGAACAGTTTAACAGAGTTGAACGATCCCGGTTGGTGAAGGTAGGACATGATACCACACCGTGGCCACAGGCAAGCACCGGACGACACACAAACGAAAAGTTTCCTTTGCTTACTTGCAGTCTCGCAGTCTGGGGGTTCTAATCTCACTTATCTGCTCAATGTTTAGTTACTGGCTGATTGATAACCCAGTATGCCGACGCAGTTACTGTATTTATTCGCCACCGGGTGAATGCAATGCCGCCCGGTGGCGTCGATTATTCAAGGTGCCATATTTTGCGGCGTACACTTTGGGCATGCATTGGACACAAATGCTGCGTCATTCAGTAACGTCGCATACTGAACGGAGATAAGTTGTGCTTTTAGCGTGCTTGAAAGGCCGTCAACCTAGAGTAACTGATAAGCTGTTTCTGAAGTTTCGTGACGAACGAGGTAGAGACATGTTTAACAGGTTTTGCAGTGTTAAGCGCGTCTGCGACATATAGCTCACGCTGAACCGAGGGCATGTGGTAACATTTCTATGCGCTTTTGTCCTTGGCAAAAACAGGTGTGTTCGAATTTAATTCCTTGTAACGGTTGGTCGCTTTAGCTCAACAAAAAAAAAAAATGCTAGTGGTCATGTTTTGATACTTCCACAGTCAACACACAATACTCCTGCAATCACAAAAAAAAAAAAAATTAAGTGCTTGCGCCATCTAGTGGTTGCTACGCCAATTACACAAGCCGTTCATAATTTGGGCATGTGCTACGAGAATGCATTCGGAACCAGTACTGCATCAACGTAAGATAGGCGGCGCTGCGCGGGGATGACATTCGGGGAAGGAAAGGCGGAGCCCTTGTTTTCTATAAGAACAGGCACCGCACCGGAACTGCTTCTCAGTGTTGCATAGCGTTTTTTTTTGTAAAGTTTTTTTTGTGTCTAACATTAGGCATAAAATGTATAGCAAAGTGAATATGATGGTTCATTATTCGAGTCACATTCGCTACAATCTGATTGCGACGTGAACCGAAGACGGGAAAATATTATCGAGGGCCTACATTTTATTGCGGTCCACTGGCGAAGGGGAACGTATATACGTGGAACGCAATTACTGGAATTACCAAAATTTCTGCGGCCGTCTCTTTGGAAACGAATGCGGAGTGCCATCGGAGCGCTGGACCATAATGGGATGCGAATGAAAGTTTTAGAATTCACGTCGCGACATTTGAAACTGCGGACCGGAAAGGACAAAGAGAGGGAAAGGGGAAGAGATAGAAAGAGGGAGAGTCCCGGAGTTTTCGACGTCGTTTCCCGTTCCCATCGAACTTCTCATCTTTCAACGTCGGCCGCGGTCTCTGCGGCCCCAGTCGAGCTGATCATTTGCAGCGTCCGGCACGACAACTTGGAATCCACGACATTCGTTTTTTTATGCCCTAACTTTACAAAAGAATATTCATTTAGTTCCGCATGTTATATATTGTCACGAATGAAAACCTGAACTTGAATAATAAAACTTAAAACGAACGTTTAATGCGGGGAACTTGTGCCGTGGAACTTAAAGTAACAAAAACCGTACCTACTTGACGGCGACGGAAGGACGACTCCCTCAAGAAGCTTTGCGAAGCTCCTTTTGTAAGCGCGTGGGTATTCGCGACTCCAGCGACCTATAGGGGGCGCCACCACCAAACAAACATGGCGGCTGAGTCCAGGTCGCGTCGGCTCGGCCGGGCCGCCTGAATGGGTGGCGCATTCAATTTAACAGATTTTATTTTGCTGAATGCCCAGTTTTAGAGGTATTTGAACTGAGACAGTTAAGTGTAGCCGGTGCGCATAAACTTGCCGAGCATATTTTTGTTTTGCCGGTGTTTTTTGTTCTTTTCATGTCAAACTTTCGTTTCGGAGACTTCGATCAAAACCGAAACTATGGGCTCCGGAGAAACGGTAATAGACTCTAATTAGTTTTGATCATCTAAATAAAGCGGCGAGGGCTACAAAATTGTTCCACCGAGAGTAATTTTTAGCTAACCCGCATGCCTCGACCATGCGACTCATCAGTCCGCGAAATTGAGCTTTTGTGCCTGTCCGCTCCAGTCGTGTGCTCGGTCAAGAACACAGGCTGCAGGAAAATTACGAAAATTTAGCAAGCGCTTCTTGAGCCGAGGAGCACGTCAACTTGCTGGCGCTTCATTAAGCAGCTGATACTCGTATTTCAATTCAGGTTTTAGTAGCAATCGAGAAGTCATTTTGATGAATATGCGGATTATGTATTATATTACGTACTATGGTCCCACTAAAGCGATATTAGTATATTATTCGGGTTGAGATGTGAACTTAGTTGACTAACTATTAGGTGAACTGCTGAATAAAAGGATATTTGACAGACAGAGGGATACTACTTAAACTTAGCCAAATGGTTCTAGCCGGTAGAACGGAGACGAATGCGGACAAACTGAGGAGAGTCTTCATCGGAGATTCACTCAGACTTCTCTGCATTGAACTTGACCTCGAATCCTGAACGGAGAAAATTAGTATTTTTTTGTGGCCGGTCAACCTGAGCAATGTAGACGTATATTGCTGCTGGCTTCGACAGGGGTTATAATATAAATATTGGAGGCGCGATAGATCCTAATGACGTGACAGCTTCTAACTTTGCGAGACGTGTCCCCCACCTTTTGAAAGCAGATAATTTCCCTCATTAATCATATGCAGCGAGCAGGTTTTCTGAATTAAGTAATTGCGAAATTAGCTCAACTCATTCAATGTGGTCTTTTTCGGCGAAAAGCCGTCAAGATGAATAGCCATCGCACCGGCCGGCGTTAGTGGCTCAAATTAACTTGAAGCCTTAATCGAGCACAACCAAACTCAAGGAAAGCAGCTATCGAACCTTCCTATTCACCTGACTGCAACATTGTTGTTCCCTCCAGTGAAACACTTCGTGTGTCGACCTCAGTCCACTGTTCTACACTCTTATAAAGAAACCACTTATCAGTTACCAAGCGGTCGTCACTTTGAATGTGATTAGAGACAGACGAGAAATCAAAACGTTTTTCCGTGATTCCTCCTCATCCAAAAAATTGAAAGCACGCGACCGTGTGTTGCGGAGTAAACGGGCTTTCAAACACGTGATGGAAAGAAACAATCTACTCAGGCTTCACCACACTAATGAACGCTCAGGCAAACTTAAGAAATTTTCGGACCTTCGTCAAATTACATTGCTCGCCCCCCGCGCCGACAGCAGGTGTCCGCGAAAGCCATCAGAGACGCGGCGGGGCGCGGAGCGACCTGGACCAACTGGTTCCTGGTTTTCTCGCTTGGCGGCGTCCGTTTTGCTGGAGTCGCGAATATAGAGATTTCCGAGCTCCAACAAACAACACGATTATCGAGTCATCTGGGACATTCCAGTCACGCAAACAAAAGAGTGATAAAAAGGACAAGCGCTGGCAGGGATCAAACCTTAGCCAGCGGCGTGGGAGTTGAGCACGCTGCTGACTCAGCTATTCGCACCCGGCATTACTTCCCTCTTGAAGAAACGCATCGTCCCGATGCAACGCACAATAAAATTTACAACTCAAAACAAGAGAAGGGCGAACTACAGAGTTACCTAAAACACACATTTGTCACAGTCCCATTGAGCATAGTTCTGTTGGAGTCAGACGACGTGAATCACCTTCGGGTCGCAGAGGGTTGCGTGACAATGTTCATGTTCCGTTGGGCAATGGCCCTCAGTTAACGCCTCTCAGGTAGCGACTAACCGTGAGGCCGAAGCACCACGTTAACAGTTCCTTGCCGCGACGATTGAATTGGTGTTCAGATTCACACTTGGTAGCCGGGCTGGAACTGGGCGTTGTGGCGACAAAGACTGCACCGCCATCGTCAGCAAGTTATGCGGCTTCAATCAAAATGCGTCAGAGCTGCGGACTTCCTCCGCTCGTTGAGTGGCGAACCGAACGTCGTCGTCCTGTTCGTCTTCGTGGTTGACATTACACACGTCGTCGGTATATCGTCATCGGGTTCGTCATCAAGCTCGTCCTCAAGGTTGTAGTTGGGGTTTTTGTTGAAGTCATTATCCTCGTTGTCCTTTTGTTCACCGTAGAAATCGTCGTCAGAATCGTCGTCGATGTCATCGTTGGGTTCGTCGCCCTTGTCATCGACAGTGTCGTCGTAAGCCTCGTCGTCAAAGTCGAATACACAAAAAGGTATGTTTGGGCTGGTCGGCTGATGAGCATCTTGGTTTAAAACAGCGCGACAAAGACAAGGACAAAGTAAAGACGGGATAGTCGGCGTCTGTCTCGTCTTTACTTTGTCCTTCCCTTGTCGCGCTGTTTCAAAGCAAGAGGTCGAATACACTGTTTGTCGCCGAGGCCTTAGTTGGGTTGGTTGTTGACGAGGTAGCCTGAGAATGTCTTTGGAGTCGTGGCTCGTTTCATCGTCGGCGTCATCGTCGAAGTCGCCATCATGGTGTCGTCGAGGTCGTAGCCAGGGGCTTTGTCGAGTTCATAGTCCGGGTCGTTTTCGAGGCCATTGTTGAGGGCGCTGTTTATGTCACAGTTGGAGTCATCCTCGGATGTTTTTAGTGATGTCGCCTTTACGGTAGTCGTCTTCAGAGTTGCCGTGTTCACAGATGGTACACGCATCATGGGCATAGATTGCGTTATCCCACACCTCCACCAAAATGTCACGAATAAAAACATAAACTTGACAAATAAACCTTAAAATGAACGTTTAATGCGTCGAACTTGTGCCGAGGAACATTGATAATGTCTATGCTTGGGCAAGTTGGTAATTCATGCTTTTGATGGAACAGCGCGGATGAACAGCCACACTCACATGCACACAAAAGGAGACAGACTCGCAGCGCTGACTTACAACTCTGTCCTATATTTCTTCTTCCTCAAATCTTCAACTTCTTCACCTTTTCCGTTAATGAGAACAATTTAAATTGTTTACACACCAGAGATCAATTAGCCAATAAACATTAATAAATAACTAATAATTATATAAATAAAAGACAACTAAACATACTATTAAAAATACCATTAAAATTAAATTAAAAATTAAGCGAAAAATGTTCTCATCACTATTGGTGCTTTGATGACATCTCTAGATAATCCAATTCTTTCTTTGACAAAGCTAAGGATGCTACACTAACACATTGGTTGTCCAACCTGGCTATTTTTCCAGCTTCGATGATTTCTCTTGTCAGCTGATTACCACTTCTGGCAATGACAGTGGAGTTACTCAGGTGCGCTGAGCACCCACAATCCAGGCAATGTATTCCTAGATTCCCTGATTTTACCCTGTTTATGATGTAATGATGCTCTCGTAGCCGGTCATTGAGACACCTCCCGGAAAACAGTATGTAGGCCAGACCGGGAGGTTTCTCAATGACCGGCTACGAGAGCATCATTACAACATAAACAGGGTAATATCAGGGAATCTAGGAATACATTGCCTGGATTGCGGGTGCTCAGCGGACCTGAGTAACTCCACTGTCACTGCCAGAAGTGGTAATCAGCTGACAAGAGAAATCATCGAAGCTGAAAAAATAGCCTGGTTGGACAACCAATGTGTTAGTGTAGCATCCTTAGCTTTGTCAAAGAAAGAATTGGATTATCTAGAGATGTCATCAAAGCACCAATAGTGATGAGAACATTTTTCGCTTAATTTTTAATTTAATTTTAATGGTATTTTTAATAGTATGTTTAGTTGTCTTTTATTTATATAATTATTAGTTATTTATTAATGTTTATTGGCTAATTGATCTCTGGTGTGTAAACAATTTAAATTGTTCTCATTAACGGAAAAGTTGAAGAAGTTGAAGATTTGAGGAAGAAGAAATATAGGACAGAGTTGTGAGTCAGCGCTGCGAGTCTGTCTCCTTTTGTGTGCATGTGAGTGTGACTGTTCATCCGCGCTGTTCCATCAAAAGCCGAGGAACAGAAAGTAACAAAGACCTACTTTGAGGGCGACGGAAGGACCACTCCCTCAAGCAGCCATGCGAAGCTCCGATTGTAAGCGCGTGGGTATCTAGAGGTTTCGGAGCTCGAACAAACCACAAGATTCGCAAGTAATCTGGAACATTTCAGTAATGCAAACAAAAGAAAGATAAAAAGGACAAGGGCTGGCGGCGATCAAACCCAAGCCAGTGGTGTGGGAGTCGAGCACGCTGCTGACTCAACTATTCGCACGCAGTAATATTTTTTTTAATTTTTCCGAGAGCGGAGGTTGTGATACGATTTGATGAACTCTTCGAATGTCCCTTCCAAAAAAATTACATTGTGGTTAGATAAATTCGCGGTCACTGATATTTAAACAGGCTAGATTTTGAAATAAAAAATATAAAAGAACGAACAAGTAATCATGATGACTTTAACCCCAGACTGGAGTAAAAGGAGAAAAACAAAACCACAACAATAAGTAACGAATAATGGCGTTACTCAGGAGAAACGCACCCGGGACAGTATAGGCAACCTGCAATGCTGTTTGGTTTGGCGCCATCTAGCGACTGAAGCAAGGAAGACTGGGTACCCCTGGGAGTGGCGGCTGCATTGTACAAACGTGAGCTTTTACTCTGGTGGCGTCGCTGAGCCTAGTGTCTGAAGCAAGAAATACTGGGTATCCCAGGAAGCCGTGATCGCGTAACGTGCCAGTAGAGCGGAAGCTACGGCCCTGGCGGGCCAATCGGAACGTGACTGCGTATCACCGGAGCGCGCCTCAACTCCGAAGAAGTATCAGGCTTTTCGCTGCGTCATGCTCCAATATGTGCGCGTTGCGCTCGTATACGTCGCGCATTTCGAAGCCTTCGGGACGCAATGTGGGGCTTATCGTTCGCTGTTTGTCAAGTTACAACGAGGCAGGGTATAACCGTGAGCTCTCACCCTGCTGGCGCCGCCTGGCCGTTGACGGCTGCCTATACATTAGCTTTGCTCAAATTACGCAACACACTTCAAGAACACAAAACACGGCGCAAAAACGCTGGACACGTAAAACGTACTCCCGATTGCATTCACAATCGATAGTAGCGTTTTGCCGAGAATCTATAGTAAAGGAACCTTACGCTTGGCAGGAGTCAAAGCGTATAATTAATTGAATGTCGTTAATACAATATTAGAAGCTTGTCGTATTTAAATTTTTCGCAAGTTCTATATACACTACTTAGATGGCGGAACTGCCCACCATTTTGCCCGTGTTGTCAGGGTCGCGTCCCCGTGGCGCTTGACCCCGATGTTTGTTTGCCGTTATACAAATCAGTACGTGTTGGAACCTTGACCCTGCCTGACGTGTCTTCTCTTCCGGGGCGTTCCCGCCCTTGGGCTCCGCCAGTCCTCGCCTCACCACCTCGTCATGTGGGACCTCGTCTTTCCCGCAGGCCCACGTAGGCCTTGCGCTCCTTTTTATTTTCACGGGTGGCCGTCATTTACTACAAAGCTATTTCCTACTTAGAAGAATTCGAAGTTAGAAAAAGCATAAATGTAGTTACACATTTTGTATCTTAAATTTAAAGTGACTGTATATAATGTTTATTAAACAAAACGATATATCGGAACACGACGTCCACTGGCATATTCGGAAATATACGACAAAGCACACCAGTTACATGTTTCAGGTAATAAAAAACAAAATATAAATAGTCCTCTCGGGAACGTACGCTGCACGACACTGATAGCAGGAAAATCAAAGTTTTAGGGCTCACGTCAGCGACCCGAATTAGCTTTCTTCCCCATAGCAACAGTATCAAAATCAGCCCTTTAATTCTCAAAGGAAAAAAAAAAATGACGATTGCTTGTTTGCGCTAACAGTTTCGTGTAAGCACATAAAAAAATGTAAAATAAAACGAAATAACTTTCACAAACTACTCCAAATCCACTAGAGTATAGTATGAAAAGAAAGCAAAAAAAATTACTCGTTTCATATTCTCCATAAGAATGCTTCAAGACGAACACCGTGATGTACACAACTCGTCGATTCTCCTCAGGTGCGAAACTCCTTGCATTACTAACTGCACAAAAAAAAAAAAAAAGGCAGTAAGGATACCGGAAGTATACTTTAGAAGAGAGTGGAAATTTTCCAAGTGTTGCGTATACCACGCCAATCGCGAGCGCGCCAAAGGGAGCAGTGCCTTTCTTGTTATCGCGCGGGCTCTTCAATCCTCTCATTTGCATAATGCGAACGCCGGGCTCGCTTCATACGCGCGGCACACAACAACACTCCGGAAGCAAAGTATACTGTGCGGCAGGTTCCAGGAAACGCTAGAAGTACCCAAGAGAAAAAAGCAATAACTTGTTTGTTTCGCCGAGGTGCCGTGCAGGCTTCCTTAACCAGTAAATGGACAACAAACGAGGAAGCCAAAACTGAACAGAAAATGCTCCCCTGGGACAAAATCTTCTTTTGTTTCGGTATGGTTCAAGCCCCAGGCGGCTAATGACCTTCGCTTGTTTTAGAAGTCTCGCACCCGATTATGCGCAGGGCAATGCGCGTATACTTTCGCTCTTGCTTCTCTCGCAGTCCCTGAACAAAGTGCAGTGGTATACAGGTTCCTCCAGAAGAGGAACGCGAACGCTCGTTCCGCGTTCCTTCTCAACCTCGAAACAAGCTCCCGTTACAAGTAGTATCATTGGTTCGAAAGAAACGCGTTCCGGTTACGTGTCAAGATGTCAGCACGTGTCGTTACATTGAAATTACAGTTACTTATTTTAATTAAATATTCTGACGAAGAATCTGTAGAGAGAAAATAAAGCAAGCGAGCGAAAATATGCACATAGAACTAACTACCTGTTGTTTCGCCACGATCACATTAGTTCCAGTTCTTTGTTTTTTGACTAGCTCTCGGACACTTGTTCATCCCTTGAAATCGGAGGTTGAAATGGTCAATAATAAAAAAAAAAAGCCCGAATGTCCACTAAGTTTGAGTAAAATGGCAGATATATGGCGGCGCGAAATTGAGGGAGAGAAGTAAACGAGAGCGCGCAGGGTACGTCAGAACGCCGAGCTTTGGTTCGACCGATGATTGGATAGAAGAAAGCTATAGCTGCCTCTGTCTCCACTGCACTACTTGAACGCGTTAGAACGCGGAACGCCTGCGTCCGGGGTTCCGCGACGGGTGCAGCGTAGACAAAGGCTGCGCTGCACCCGTCGCGCGGAAGCTTTATACTTCTTCCCACTAACCATACGAACCAGAGCACAGCGTTCTGACGTACCCTGCGCGCTCTTGTCTCCTCCTCTCCCTCAGCGTCTGGGCACATAGACGCAAAAAAAAAAAAAAATAGAAATGACGTTATTTTGTTGTTGTTGTTGTTTCCCCAAGAATGTACCGAGTTCCCGTTCCAGTTTCGCCGATGCAAGAGGAAACGGCGTTCCCCCATTCCTCGTGACAGGAAGGCAAATCCAGGAACGTCGTTCCTTGGTACGCCGTTCTGCACACCACTAACTGACACCAGCCGTTTCGTTTGCTAGCGCCATTGGGGCTTTGAGCAAACCGTTACCGTGCTCCGCGTGCTTGCAAATACTAAAAGCATGCTTTTAAGCTCGCGCCCCGCGGTCACGGTATCGCCGGGAGGCGTGCTTAAGAACACGCACGCTTCAAAAGTTCCGACAGCGCGGTACGCGGAACACGTTAACGGTTTGCTAAAAGTCC